GACTGTGTGGGTCATATGTAATATGTTGCCCCTCCTTTTCCCTCTCCCAGTGACATTGGGATGGGCGCCTTATCCCTTGATCACAGCCAGCTTCATTTGTCTCAATTAACAGCGACAGCTTTTGCTTTTCTCATGTCCACTTCAATTAGGAGGCTGTGCTCTTCCCCCCACCACCCCCTCCAGGACGCCTGTGTACCTGCGTGTGAGGCCCATGTTACGGGAGGCAGTAAGGAATTTAATTGGGGCTCATTAAGAAGACAGTCTCTGGCAGCAAGACACAATCACATTCTGTTTGTAGATCAATTGTTTACATTTCCGTGATTGTAGTTCACATAATCTGAACATGTTTTAGTTAATGTCATAGGACATTTTCAAGATTTATATTAAAAATAAGATAAGATAAGATAAGATTGCGCACATTACAGCAGGGAAATAAGAACACAATTTATAATTTTTTTTAACACAATTTCAACTCAGGAAAATGGATTACTGTGATGTGAAAAAGTTCAATCTAAAATCTGAAACTAATATATGATAGACTCAGTACATGCAAAGTGACTTTTTCCAAGATTGTTTGTTATAATTTTAGTGATTACGGCTTATATTTGCTTTTTCAATAATTCTAATTTCCGGGATGTTTAATTTTTGATTTTTACACGCTGTGAGCCAACTATCAACATCATAAAACTCATTTCAATATGTGTGCAATGAGTTCATCATTTTTTAGTTTCACATTGTAAATATCAACGGAGTTCAGTGCAAAATTCTACTTTTCAGAGTTTGTACGTACATGGTTTGAAAAGGGTTGAACAGTGGATTAGAAAGAAGTCTATAGTGGACATTAATGGATTTTTTTTGCAGGTGATTAAAGGCTGTAAGTGAGATTTGTAACAGTTTCTTCCGACTTCAAAGTGATAATTGAAATATGACATTATGAATGAATGATACAATTAGAGAAGAGCATCAGTGTTCAGCAAATGACTTGCTCTTTTCATCATTCAAACAGACTTAGCAACTTTTGTCCTCAGGTAAATTATGTGGGGTTTCCAAAAAATCTATTTATCCTTTCAACATAAAGGAACTGAATACCCATATCCTAATGAAAAATGAACACATGAAGAGCTGGCTAATAACTAGGGGACTTTAACATATCAATTAAGATGAATTAATTACACAAATATATAAAGAATATGTGTATATGATATATGTATATGTATGAGCTTGTATGATGTATATATATGTGTATATATGTATATATATATATACTATATATATATATATATATATATATATATATATGTGTGTGTGTATATATATATATGTATATACTATATATATATAAATAAATATATATATATGTGTGTGTATGTATGCATGTGTGTGTGTATATGTGTATATGTGTGTGTATGTGTGTGTATGTATGTTTGTATATATGCATATATATGTTTTCTTTCCTTTTCCCCAAACTGGACATGTTTTATAGACTGTATATGGTGGTGGTGAGATGGACCCCTGATCTATAAGCTTCTGCTTCTGGGAGTTCCATTTTCACAATGCAGCACGTATGTACTTTTAGAGACTCTGTGAATTGTGAATAAACTAAACTAAACTAAGAATAAACGAACAGATGGAAGCGTCGATAAGAGCAAGGTTTAGTTTACACATGGAGTATCGCCTCATTGATAAATATAGAGCTGCTAGTGTGGATGTTAGCCTGAGTATAAAGACTAGCATCCCTGGCTTTAAGGCTGGCTCACTGGATTGCACTCGACTGTAGAACACTTTGAGAGGTAGAAGATGAGGGCCTGCAAAATGTATTATATTTCTAAAGGCTATTGCTGCACTTAATGGCAAAGTTGCACTGGTTTGTTGGACTTGGTTGAACAAATTTAAAAATATGTTGTTGCTTAAGCTTACGTATTCAATCTGTATTTAATAGTATAAAAATAATCCACTTCTCACTGTTTTCAGGTCAAATATTTGTATGCGATTAAAATGCAATCAGTAGAGGACTTTGTGCTTTCCATGCTGACCCGTTTCTCCTGTGTTACTGTACATGTCTTGTATGTTTTAGCATGTGTTATGTATTTTTCTGCTGTGTTTTCACTGCCTCATAAAATACACCATTATGCATGCTTGCACTGTTTTGTATAAAGAGAGCAACGTTGGTCACATTACTTACACGTAATTAGTTACAGTTACTAATTCAGTCTCCCAAAAAGTAATTGCGTTAGGAATTGTGTTTCTGAGGGGAAAACATAACATAACATTACCAAACATAGCGATTTTTGTAGAACTTCTCTATTAGAGTATAATCAATGAACATGCTGACTGGTTTATGACTTATGGTTGTTAAAATCCATAATTCTTTGTCTTAATGCTTTTCTGGACAATCAGATGTGTTATCGGCCCCTCATTTACTCACACACCAGTCTCATGACAGGCAACGTGTGGCACCTGGTGTTAGCCGAGGTCTCCCATCACAATACTAACCAGGCCCTGCCCTGCTTAGCTTCGGTGGTCTGATGGGATCTATCAGATGCAAAACAGAACGGGGCAACATTAAGGCAAGGCAGGTTTATACACACAAGGCATTAAATAATCACAGTATGTTAAAAAAAAAGTGAAGATACAATCCTTCAGTTGTTTTCACAGCGAAACAGAATTGTTCTAAACCTGTATTTGAACATTATCTGTCTGCTTAAATCTGAACTGCTGCCTCCCCATGTTCAGTTCTGACTCTGGGCACCAGCAGGAGGCCAGTCCCTGTGCTCCTCAGGGTCCAAGTTGGTTAATATGGCACACATTACAAGGCAGCCTCCAGAAACAGTTGATTTGTAAATTCCACAATGTTATTTACTCCTAACGGCTGTGGAAGTGCATCATTTGGCAGAGCGACATCTCCGGTCTGTGCGTTTGAGTTCACTGGAGCGCGGCTGCAGCAGTGAGGGATTTTCTGCTAAGCAACGGGAGTTATCGCTACAGACGGATCGATACTGGTTTGCACCTCGCGCTCCCCACTCGCTCTATGGACACAGGGACAACATGACGTTATGCCTTTCTCTAGTCATCACTTCGTCTTGCAGCATTTCAACCCGGGACGACTTCAAGCTTTTTTGTTATTTTACTTTTATGTAAGTGAGTCTCGAATGAACCAGTCTTGCCAAAAGTCTATTCATAGGCATTCAATTCAATTTAAGGATACTTTTTTTTGTAAATTGCTAAATTACATCTGCAGTCGTCTCAAAGGGTTTGGTAAGTTGTGAAACAGTTCAAACACAAGAAATGCAAGATTAATTTACACATAGGAGCCATTGGTCCATGGAGCAGGAGATGACCACTGTCCATAAATAAATTTGTATAGTTTTTTTGTAATTAAGTAAGTAATTTTTATAGCGCATTGTTACAGACCAAGGTCACTCAAAGCGCTTCACAATGTTCAGAGCTCACATATTGTTTTACTCTCTCCCCACGGTGATGACAGTGGTAGGGGAAAACTGGAGCACCCGGAGGAAACCTGGGCAAACACGGGGAGAACATGCAAACTCCACTCACTAAGGCCCTGTTCCGCCCGCGATTCAAACCCAGGACCTTCTTGCTGAGAATTGAGAGTGCTATCCACGGCCATCCATTTAAATAACTACTATTCTTACAGGATTATATAAACATGTATGAATCAATTGAACCTAAACATTGTGCAAGCCAATAACAAGGCTAAACACATGCAAGAGCCGATTTCCAAATGATTATTTTTATGTTACAGCTTTCTTTCCTGACATCAAAAGGCATGAATCCATTTAGGAATATAACTGATAATGCTAATTATGTACACAGTAACAATTATACTGCTGGAAATCTCAGGGCTGACTCAGGGTTCCTAAGGACTAAACTGCGCCGGAGACTTCTGGGTATCCGTCTATTCTGTAACAATCTTGGGAATATTGCATGTGTGCGATATTAGCTCGGTGAGAGGCAAGCATGTAAACAGGATTTATGAATCGAGCATGAATGTAGCCAAACACAATTTCACGTTCTTTGTTTGAAATGAGAGAGCAGAAACATCCCAATGGAGACGACATGTTGATTTTAGTCTGGTGTGTCTTAAAGGAGACAGCTTTTAACCATTATACTACATTGCTCCCTTATTAAAAAGCAGACCTGGAGTTGTTTTTAAAACCATTCACCCAGGAAATTCTAACACAAACATGAAACGCTGTCGGTCCCTCCTCCCCAAAAGCTCCTATGATGTCAGTGTATATCTATAATACCACACTGAGATACAAAATAAAAAAAAATAAAAAAGTATTGCTACTTAATTAGTTCTGGCAATTTGGACTTTGAAAGTGGGTATAACTGTTAATCCTCAAATTGGGTTAAAAAGAAAACATTCTGCACCTCTCTCTGGTGGCAGGGCCGGCCAATAGAATGTTTAGCCTTCTGACTTGTATTACCATTTTCAACTAAACCATGAAATAACAAATTACATAATTTACTCATTGTCAGAGTAGAACCTTGTCTCACATTTCCAGAAAGACTTTTCCAGATTTTAGCAAACGCTGCCTCCCCATGTTTAGGCAGGAGGCCAGTCCCTGTGCTCCTCAGAGTCTGAGTTGGTTCATATGGCACTAACATGTCACAGAGGTACTTTGTAGCAGCTCTGTTTGTGTACAATTCTCTCCATGGCCTCGCATCAAAGCCTATTCTCGGAGCCACAGGAAGCCGAGCCAAGTGCATGGTACACCTCTTATGTGAGACAAAGTAACCAAGTAAAGTGATCATAATGGAGAGGTGGAGTTTATAGGGATGACGTAAGTTATGGATCGAACAAACCAAATAGAAATGTCAACGATGATTGAAGAGGATATGGCCTTGTAATGTATGCACATGTGGATTATGGCACTACATAAATCCTCACAAGGAGAAAAAAGATCATATCTATTATATTGGCTGAGGTGGTTGATAGATTTACTGCTGTGTTAGAAGAGCGAGGAAAGACATACATGTACCAGCAGGAAGACAAAGGTACAGATGAAGCTCACTTCTGTCCAGTCCTTTTGTCATGTGTTGTTGGAACCTTTCTTTCAACAGTCCGAAGATTCAAAATTCAAGATGAAATAATTTATTTGCCTTTTGCATTAAAACCACATACAGTAGGAAAATCAGACAGAAGATGGTATACACCAGAGCTCTTGCCATGTATGTGTACAATTGTATTCAATTCAATGTATTTGTTATAGCTCTAAACCACAAGAACAGTCATCTCAGAGAAATATCTATACATTTTACAGTGGATTGCAAAAAACTAAAACTACTTGAACTGTTCATGTGTTCATGCTTCATGTATTTAAAACAAGATTTTATTTTGGATTTTGTTTTTTTTCTAAGGCCACAGCGAAGTAACAGAACACTGTGAAGTGAAATGAATGCAAAGTTAAAATGCACTCAAGTTTCTGTCTACTGTTCAGGAAATAATCATGGACTCATTTTGTTGTAGTTGAACATTTTATATATTACTGTTAAATGTACTTTTACAATATTTAATAACGTGAAAAGTGGGGCTTTCACATTCATTCATACATACTTTTTTAAGGGTTAAAAAAAGTATGTATGAATGAATGTGAAAGCCTCAGACTCAGACTCTATGACTCAGAGAATAGACTTTAAAGTAGCTCTGTTTAAGAACAAGTCTCTCCATGGCCTTGCACCAAAGTAATGTTTTTTTGAGGACCTCCTCCTTGTGCATGAACTTTGCTATACAAACAAACTTGTCTTGACTCTACAAGCATTGCACATCTCAAGACTGCAAGTTTTTCTCATTCATCTTCACAAAACAACCCAAGCTCTGTCACATTTGATGGGAGATTTTGTGAACAGCAGTTTTCAGGTCTTTTCACAGACAGTTAATTTGGATTTCGGTCGACATTGACTGGGCCATTCTAACACTTATCGTAGCTCTGGCTTTTTATTTAGGGTCATTGTCCTGCTGGAGGGTAAATCACTGCCCCGGCCTTGAACGCTTTTTTCTGATTCCAACAGGCTTTTTTCCAAAAATGCCTTTTATTTGACTCCATCAATTTTTCCATCAATTTGTACAATCGTCCCTCTCCTACAGCATGATACTCCCCTCTCCATATTTGACACTGTGGATGGTGCACTAAGGGTGATGAGTTAGTTTTGCTCCATTGTATTCAAGAGAAAAAGTTACATTTTCAGACCAATATTTCCTCCCTATGTTACCAAGTTCTATTTAGAATGGTTTGAAAATGTACAGTTTGAGAAACATGACATAACATGTTGGAAATGTTATTTTTTTATTTAGCTTAATCTTTGTTTTAGCCTCACACTGTTGTTAGTCATGGGGGGGCAGTGTTCGCTTTTACTGGACAACCGACTCCATTCTCTCTCCTTGCGTTACCATGGAAACTACAAGACACTACATCAGCTCGAGTAGAAGTTTCTCAGATTGTCTGCCTGTGTGTGTGTGTGTGTGTGCATTTGTGTGTGTCTGTGTGTGCGAGGGGGATCCAAGTGATAATGCCGATGTCTGCTTTCGAAACCACATGCTTGAATACAGCCGATGTTCACAGACTAATACATTTACCCATTGGAAAAGCTGAAAAGTTTTGCGCTTAGGAAGAATAGAGGAATATGCCTAAAGTGTGTTTTATTTACAGTAAAATGATGACGAGGGGGAAAAGCCTGGACTATGGGGATGGCTAGTGTGACGTCACGACATCACTTCCGTGTCCAACCCGCTGTACTTAATGTAAACACAATGGCGGTAGCCAAGGAACCGGTCACTTTTTTCACGGTGACATCGTATTTTGCTGACATCCCAAAGTCAGTGAAAAAGGGTCTTAACTCCTACAACTCAAACAGAGTTGTAAATGTTAGTGTGCTGGCAGGTGGAAGTGTTAAAGGGAAAGTACAGGCTTCAATGAAAAGTAAAATTTACGAGGTTGAGGTGAGGGTACTGACTCTGACGGCCCAAAATTCTACGACTTTTTTATACATACAACAAATTGTTAGTCCAATGGTTTAGCTGTCGCCCTTTTACCATAAAAAGATTGAACATTTCTCATGGTTCAGATGTTACAAGTTTTTAGTACGTTAGCGTTAACCTCGCTAACATAAGGCTGTCGACCACTTTACCAGTGTGACGTTAACTATTGTACTTAGCTATGTTAGAATAAGTACCTATGGTTTGTTGACAACTTACTCTGGAAAGGTACTCGCCCAATACAGATTAGACTGCTTAGGACGTTACTTAACTAGTTGTTAGCACCACCTAGTGCAAGACAAAGTGTTGCTCTCTGTCTTTTACCATTGTTAGGAGTTTTTTGTGAGAGTTAGCAAAGATGATTTTACTCAGGTACACGTTGAGGGTCAGGAAGTGAAGGCAAGTACTTGCTCTTGTGCTATCGGGAGGTCCAAGTGCCACCATGTTGCAGCTCTCCTCATTTGGGCTGAGAAGAACTTTACTCGCACAGATGTCGAGTGTATGTGGAAGAGGCACGACACCCAAAACAGAGGAAATCACATCAAAGAAAGTGTCTGTGATGCTATTATTTCAGCTGGAATTAAAAACGACCCTATGTCACCCAGGAGGACAGAGGTGCTATGGGCATTGTCATCTTTTTTTATGGCACAGCTTGACCGTTTGTTCTTTGGCACAGGTCTGGGTTGGATAATTGCTCCAGAATTGCCTCAGGTTTGACTTGTGTTTTGTATTTTATTGTTTCATGTCCTGCCTTATCAGAGACTTCACATGTACACCACATTAAATCAGTTACAAAGGTTGCAGATATCCCTAGTTAGATGGTAAATTTAGTTTGATAAATGCAAACCATTGCAAATCAGACAAACATGTTCACACTTTCATTTAAATTTCATACTGAGTAAACAAACATATATGTATGTCAGTGAACAATGTTGACTTGTATGGATCTAATTGTTGCTTTTTCTGATTCAATTATATCTTTTGGGACAGACTTTTGACCCATCCCATCACATCAAAACTTTTGATGGGCTATTGGCCAGCTCCAGTTATGGTGATGCAGAGGACAAAGCGCTGTATATGCTTTCATCCCTTGCTGTGAGCCCACAACAGAAGGAAGCCATTGAGAGAGCCACAGTTGGGCAAACTAAGAATGCCTTATGGTAATGAGACACAAAGATCTATTGATTTCAGATGTACTAAAAGTCATTAGTGACTAGCTCTTTCTTTGTATAGCTTTTTAAAAATGCTGTGAGGTTAACTGCTGCGTGTTTATTTATAACAGGATGGCATATCGCAGGAAGAGAATAACAGCCAGCAACTTTGGTCTTGTGTTGGCAGCAGTGAAGAGGAACTCTTACCCTCCTTCATTATTCAAAACCCTGCTTGGTCATTACAATCTCAAGCAGGGAGCTCATGTAAGTGATGGACACCAAGTGATTTTAACCCTGGGGTACTGTAATAAAACATATCCTTTAGTCCTTGTTTTGGCTTTTAAAAGCTACGTTAGCTGCTGTAAAACAAACAAATACACACACGCTCACACTCACACTACCACACACACACACACTTACACTTATTTCCTTCTCTCCCTTTATAAAGCACATTGTGTATGGAATTCCCTTTCTGCCCCCAGGCTTGTGATTGGGGAATCGTGCATGAGCAAAAGGCAAAAGAAGAGTATATGAAGCGCACTGGTGTGACCTTCCAGGAGAGCGGCGTGTTTCTCTCTGACAGTGGCCTGCTTGGTGGCTCCCCAGATGGGCTAGTATCTGATGACTGCATCATTGAGGTAAAATGTCCCTATGCAGCCAGAAAGAAGACCATAATTCAGGCAGCAGAGGCAAAGGACTTTTATCTCAAACTGGATGAAGTCACTGGCCTACTGAAAATGAAACAGACCCACAACTACTGGCATCAGATTCAGGGCAACCTGTACCTGACAGGAGCTGGCACTTGTCACCTGGTGGTATGGACTCCGCTGGATCTTGTAATCCTATTCATCCAGAAAGATCCAGCTTGGGCAAACAACATTACTGTTTTAGAAACATTTTATAAGAATTTTTTCCTGCCCCATATTCTCTCCGATATTAATTGATTAACCCTGCATTCTTTACATGTTCTAAAGCAGGATTTTCATTCTGAATGTTGAAGCCTCCCCAAATTGTACTTGTTTGAGATTAATGTTTAAGATATATTAACATCTGTGCATTTGTACCAGTTGCTGCTGTTTGTTTTGTTTTATTTATTCTGAAAAAAGCAGTAACGAGGAAACCCATGTAGTCCAAATAAATTGAGTGGGAGCAACATAATCACTGTGAGGACTTGTTTTTATTAGATAGTTCAGCTGCCCTTTCATCCACGCTGTCAAATGGATATCTAAGTACTTCTCCAAATTATTCACATTTTATGGTGGATTAAACACAATTGTTTTGACAAACACCATAAAAAGTAATCTAACATTTATTGTTAAACATTTCAGTTTGTGAAAATTGATTAGCAAGGAAAAAACAACTATATTGATACATTTCTTATGGAATAAAGTTCAAAAATATATATAATCAAGGCTGATGATGGCATTGTGGCAAACAGTGAGGAAATTCATGCTATTTCACGGAGAATGGGTGTCTGTAAATTTGTGAGACACACACAAACTTTCAAAATCTTGTTGGCATGCTTTTTATACTGGTATGGAATGTAGGACAAAATGTGAAATGTTTTGAGGCGCTGAATGGAACGCTCTACATGAACTCTTGCACTGGCAATAAGTCTGTTGTAATTGTTTTCCTCCATTGTGAACTGTCCGTTGACAAGGAATGTTGGGATGTTCAGTGAAACATCTGCAGGTAAAATGTCACGAATAGTGAAACCCTTGTCAGCCATCACCATGTCACCTGCTTCTAGCTGTTGGAGTACTCCGCAGTCTGCTGTTATCGCTTTGTCTGATGTGCTTCCACCATATAGGTCACTGGCGAAGGTTGTGACTCCATTGGGGGCCACACCAATCAGAGCCTTAAGTGTGGTACATCCTTTGTAATGACTGTACAGATGACTTTGGGTGTCCAAACTTTCTGTGTTGGACACAGCTACTTCAGTACAGTCTAGCACAATGCGACAATTTGGAAACGGCTGGAAGCAATGTGGCAGGGAGGTTTGGTTCTTGAATCTGGAGGGAATTTTGTTTTCCATCATGCCTACATACAAAATGTCATACAGGGCACTGGAGATGGTGATGAAGATGTTGGTGACTGTGGCCCGGCAGCAGTTAAACCTCAGCGAAAGGTCAACAACACCACAATTTAGTCGGAGTTTCATCAAAGTCAAGAGCAACTGATCGATTAGGGGCATTTTTTGGACATTCCAATCAAAGTGATACTGGAGATCAAATTTGGAAAGAAGGGTCTCCAAAAAAAAGACTGTGGCAGCATCTGGCAAGCCAGTGTAATAGTTGACTCTGCCTGGGTGGGAGGATATTTGACTAAATGAAAACGTTTGTTTTTGTTTCTCCAATTCTTTCTTTAGTTTGTCATTTTCTTTTCTGAGCATCTCGTTCTCAATTTCGAGCACCAAAACACTCGAAGTACTTGGGGTCTTTTGAGCAATGCAGAGGTGACTTGGGCCTGGTTCCGCTCTTCCTTCGTCCTCTACAGTCGCTGGGAGCATTTTCTTTTGCCGTTTGGTTGGATGTCTGATGTGAGGGAAAGCCTTTCCCTCATTCCAGGCAAACCGTGTTGGCCCGGCTGCTTTGCCATGTGGAAAATGCCATCCACAGACCCTTGAGTTGTGGTTTGGGGTGAAATCTTTACGCCTGAAAAACAGAAAAGAACATTACATAAAGAACTCAGAGGCAATAAACAAAATAGAAGTAGGTTCTGCAAGTGCAGAACCCTTATCCCTCTCATCCCCCTTCCACAAAAGCAACAACATTTGGCAACTGTATATACATAGTGACTTTAACATTGTTAATAATGGCTTTATTCTCAAAAATGACTAATCTTGTAAATACTGAATTTATTCTTCTAAATTGTCACTTAAATCTAAAACAATTACTTTAATCTTGTAGTCACTTTAATCTTGTAAAGAATTACTTTATTCTTGTAAATTACTTAATCTTGTAATTATTTTAATTCTCGTAAATTACTTTATTTTCGTAAATGAGTTTAATTTCATAAAATATGACTTTTCATAAATAACTAGCTACTTGATTCTCATAAATAACGACTTAAAACTCATAACTATATTAAACTAGTAAATGACAACTTTATTCTCGTCAATAACTTTAATCTCGTTTAGTAATGTGGCCCCACTCCATCGTAACAGCAACAGGTAACGTTATCTTGGCTAACGTTTAGCGCAAATACTGGCGCTAGCCCACACTTAAATGTATTTTTCATGATTCTAAATCCTGCTTACCGTATCAGTTTAAGCCATCTCCTCTTCTCGTTTTCGTCCAGAGGAAAGCGGTAGTAACATATCGTTTTATTTACATCATTTCTGTTATTACAAGATGGGACACAGCACTGCACCATTGTACCGCAATTTGGTTTGGACACGGAAGTGACGTTTTTGGCTACAATGACGTAGCGACTAGCCATCCCCATCCTGGATCCGGAGATGGTTTCCATGGTAACAGCAGACATGGTTTTAAGAAAATGTGGCAGTTATGTCATTATTCTATGACAAAGCACAGACGGTGCCTCCTCATCGAGCGAGAAAGAAGACACCTTATTTTTTCAGCCTCAAGAAAACGTGAGTCATCCAAGATTATAATAACAATAACAGTTTGTGGGTGATCTTATTTTAATTTTTTAAGAAAAAACTTGGCATGTTTATGCTGGGGGGTAATGGCCCATATATACAGTAGACAACACATAGTCTTACACATCTAGGTCAGTTTCAAAAGTTCTACAAACTACATCCTGTTTTCCTTTACTTAAATGACCGTATAATCATTGTAACAACCACACCAGCTAAAATGTGTTCTTTGTGACTTCCAAAACCAAGTTCATAGTGATTTTGTTGTTCTCTTACAATACAATACATCAGATTTGTTTACTCTAAACTGGCAGATGTCCCAAAGAATTCATTGTGATACATGTAGTTCCCCATTAAAATCAATAGAATTCTGTAAGAAAATCCCCCCAAAAAGTTTGAGTTATGTTAAAATTAAGCAATGTACTGTATGTTATTTAATCTTTAACACATAACCCTGACCCAACTAATACAGAAAAAAAAACTATTTGTTGAAAGGCTTCTAAATGCTAATCAAGCCCCGGTGATCCAAGATGGCGGCCTATTCAAGTGAAGGGCTTGTGCTCAGTAGCGCATGGGACATACAAGGGGACCAAGAAATTTGCAAAACTCGCTAATATTTGGGCATCGTCTGGTCCTCTCGGTTCTGCGCAGAGGACGAGCTCCCATGATGCATTGCGCCCAAATATGCATGTGTGGCTCTCATGCACGTGCACAGAGGGGCAAGGCCACGCTCTGACCAATCAGAGGTGCTGATCAGAGCAGCGGTAAAGCGGAGCCAGAGCGGGGAGGAAATGAGCAGAGTGGGCGGCACGGTGGCTGAGTGGATAGCACTCCCACACTCTCAGCAAGAAGGTCCTGGGTTTTAATCCCGGTCGGACCAGGGCCTTTCTGAGTGGAGTTTGCATGTTCTCCCCGTGTCTGTGTAGGTTTCCTCCAGGTACTCTGGTTGCCCCTACCACTAAAAATATGTACAATAGGTCTGGCATGCGCCTCCTATACTGGCGACCCCGCTCCCATCTCTGTGTGGAGTGAGAGGACAAATGCCCAAGAATAACAATTGTAAACCGCTTTGAGACTCCGATGTGCAGTGAAAAGGCGGTATATAAATAAAGATTACTACTTAATAATAATGCATCGGTTTTATATAGCGCTTTTCTGGACACTCAAAGACGCTTCACATGTGTCATTATTCATTCACTCCATACACGGTGGTGATAAACTACTGCTGTAGCCACAGCTGCCCTGGGGCACACTGACAGAAGCGAGGCAACCAGTATGCGCCATCGGCCCCTCCGACCACCACCAACCAGACTCATTCTAGGCAATGGGGGTGAAGTGTCTTGCCTAAGGACACAACGGCAGTTTGGCACTTTACAGCCGCAGCCGCCCCACTGTGGCTGGTGTTCCCAGAGGTTAAGTGTCTTGCCAAGGACACAACGATAGTAGTCAGTGGGAGTTGATGGTGAAGGTCTTGAGCGGGGCTTGAACCCACGACCTTCTGGCTCAAAGGCCAACGCTCTACCAACTGAGCTACTGCCGCACTTACTACTACTACTACAGAGTTTGTGGCAGTAAAAGTGTGAATTTAAAGAAAACCAAAAGATTTAATAAGAAAAAAAGTTCAAGATGACAAAGGACACTAAAATCCTCACAAAATCTGACCTTTATGAAAGCTGTAGGTTCTTTGTCAGCTGAGGTTGAGCTTGCATTGAATATGGTATGGTATTATCTGGGTAGCGCAAATTTAGTCTGCAGTACCACAGGCGCCCCCTGTGCCCGTGGGTGGGACAGCTGTAAGCTAGTAATACGTACCAGTTATTATTACAGATCCATGATGCTAACTCAAGAAAACAGTGTGTTGCTATACCAAACCAAATTCTACCAGAAATGCTCCAGGACTGGTCCAGTTAAAGTTGCTTAGTTCATTTTAAATTAATGTAATGATTCTGCACACTTTACCCAACACAAAGCAAGACATAACAATCATATCAGTGCACAATGTTGCTTTATAGGTGACTTGTTTATGAGGAGCATCGAAGCGTGGTGCGTAAACTGCCGACCCTGGACCAGTCTCCGTGACTCGCTGTGCCCCGGGCGCACTCCTCACTGCGTGGGGTCGGTAAGGAGAAAATTATTCATAGTTCATTGCCATCGTTAGAAGAGAGGACACATGCACTGAAGGGGGAGTCTTGCAGCTGTGTGGCGTGAAAGTATTTTGTGAAATAAAAGTATCTTTGGATTGTACAAAGAAATACAGTCAAACAAGCATGAAACTCTATTAAAATCATTTCTCAAAAAAACAAAAACAACGTTGGTGAGTGAAACCTTTAACATTGTGTAGGCTGAGTGCACTAAACAATCATTCAGCCCCCAAAGCAGAGCTATCGAGTCGCTCAAGCTATCATGCGGAATAAGGGTATAATGGAAAACAGTTGATAGTCAGGCGTACTCGTTGTAATGCAATAGATTCCAGCTCGCTCTCAGCCAAACATGCAAATAACATGGGAACATCATGAGTAAGCAAGTGAGTAAATAAGTAAGTCATCTTTAGGAGGTGCCTGCTGAAACGATTGTATATGTTGGTTGCAGTGGTAGTGGAAATTGGAGCACCTGGAGAAAACCTACGCAGACAGTACCCACTGCGCTACCATGCCGCCCCCGGTGTGATCAATTGTTGTAGAAACAGGCCTCAAACTTTTTCTGGTGTTGGTGCCTGTTGTCCCCCGCGTGAGGCTGAAAACTCGAACTGAATTGGATAGCACTCTCGCTTCTCAGCAAGAAGGTTCTGGGTTTGAATCTAGGTCGGAACAGAGCCTTTCTGAGCGGAGTTTGCATATTCTCCCCGTGTCTTTGTCGGTTTCCTCAAAGTACTCCGGTTTCCCCTACCACTAAAAACATGTGCAATAGTTCAGGGTGAATGAGTGTGTGTTTGTGGGTGTGAACGGACGCAAATGAGCCCATGGTTAAAATCTGGTGTGATGTGTTTATGAACATTTACTGTCCCAACCAAATGAACAACAAATAAAGAAATAAGGTGAGATAAGCGGCTTATACTCTCATTATGCTCCTTGTAAATGGAACAGTCTGCCTAATGGTGTTAAAGATGCTACAACCCTGAACTAATTTGAGCGTAAACTAAAGACTTCAGACTCTCTTTTTCACCTGTAGGCAGACCTTCGTCCTTTTGTATTTTGCTTTATACACCGTCCTTGTTAAGAGCATCGAGTGGCCGTCCTGTATGCAATGTGCTCAACAAACAAGATAAGATAAACTTTATTGATCTCACAATGGAGGAATTTACAATACATAAAATGTCTTTGTTCTTGTGGAGGAAAATCCTTTATAATATGTGTTTGAAGCAGAGCCCATGAAAACCCACCCTGAATAATGAAGATGAAAAATATTATCTCACCAGTGGGCCATGGCAGCAGTAAGACATTTCTGCTGACACGGCGGTTCCACGCTAAAAGGGCTGGATTTGGTGGATTGTATGGTAGTTAGGGTTTAGCCAGGTGTATAGTGTTCTCTCTCCAGAGCTTTATTAAGTGAAAAAGATGAATAAAAAGCAGCCATGCAGCACATCTCTCTCTCACTAGCACAAAATGACCTATTTCCAACCCAATTGATTTGTTCTGGGATTTGGCTAATTGCTTTGTGGAGAGAAGTCATATTTTACAGATGATCAGAGCTGTAAGACTGATGTGATGGGCTAATGCAGTCTTCATCAAACGTAATGCACATAATGGTGTGTAATGGGCATTAGCTGTGATTGTCTTTAGCTCTGAAAAGCTTTGTCCATGTGATAGAGGGCTGCAGTTTGTATTTATGCTCTGATTTGGAAATGGTTCATGGAGTTAAAGTGGGGTTCCTTATTCTCAGACTGAAACAGGGGACATTCCATACTATGGTGGAATCATCTGCCACTACTTCACTGTATTAGTATTTTATTTTACTCCATAGGCCAGTCGAGAGACAAGGCTCGGGGGCCACTGACTTGACAAGGGGGAAGGGACACCACTATACAGTATACATGAGTTTCAGTTTAGCATTTCTCCCTGTGGTGCTGAGGTGGGTTACTCCTCTAATGGTGCTTACAGACCGCAAACGCTCAAACGCTGAAGCCTCGCTCACCAGACGCGCATTCTCTAGTTTTCAGACGCACGGGACTTCACACCAGAACGTCCTGACCAGCGCCGGAAGTGGCGGAAGTAGCCGGCCGGCTCTGATGCTAACAGAGCTATGCTAGCGGCACAGTGGCTGAGTGGATAGCACTCTCGCTTCTCAGCTAGAAGGTCCAGGGTTCGAATCCCGGAGCAGAGCCTTTCTGAGTGGAGTTTGCATGTTCTCCCCGTGTCTGCGTAGGTTTCCTCCGGGTACTCCGGTTTCCCCTACCACTAAAAAAATGTACAATAATTCTGGCATGCGCCTCCTGTACTGGTGACCCCGCTCCCATCTCTGTGTGGAGTGAGAGGACAAAACTGCTTTGTGACCCTGGTCTGTGAAAGGCGGTATATAAATAAAGATTACTCATTTTTTATTTTTTTTCCTCTCTCTTGGTTCTCCTCTGTTCAGTTAGGTGGAGTTTTTTTCAGTTGGGCTCAACATAAATTACAGATGATTTGTCACCTGTTGTGCTTGTCTTATTATCGGTCCAATACACATACAAACCCTTCAGTTTCCTTGTTCATGGACAGAGAAGAAGAGCATTATCTTACTTCTGATTTCACATGAAATCAAAAATTAATTATTAGTCACACAGAGATCACCTTTACTCACATTTATCATATGCTAAAACTGGTGGATGCAATAAAAACAGTTTGGTGAAAGGCTACTAAATGCTAAGTGC